TATATTTTGGATACTAACTGTTTATTGGATATGTCATTTGCAAATACCTTCTCCCAGTCTGTGGGATGCCTTTTAGTTTTGTTGATTGTTTCCTTTGCTGTGCAGAAGCTTTTTATTTTGATGTAGTCCCCGTAGTTTATTTTTGCTGTCATCTCCCTTGTTTCAGGAAACCTATGTAGAAAGTAGTTGCTGTGGCTGATGGTCAAAGGATTAGGATTTTTACAGTTTTTTTTTTTTTAAAGATTTTATTTATTTATTTGACAGAGAGAGACAGCTAAAGAAGGAACACAAGCAGGGGAAGCGGGAGAAGGAGAAGCAGGTTTCCCACCGAGCAGGGAACCTGATGTGCAGGGCTCCATCCCAGGATCCTGGAATCATGACCTGAGCCAAAGGCAGACGCCTAATGACTGAGCCAGCCACTCAGTCGCCCCGGATTTCTACTGTTTTTGTGGTTTTTATTTTTTCAGGTCTCAAATTTAGATCTTTCAACTGTTTTAACTTTATTTTTGTATGTGGTGTAAGAAAGTGGTCCATTTTTGTTCTTTTGCATGTTGCTGTCCAGTGTGTCATTTAGTTTTGAACTCAATAATCCAGTAGTATAGTGTATAATCTTTTGTGACTGACTTCTTATGTGACTGACTTAGCATGCTTGTGAGATTTATCTATGTTACTGTATGGAGTGGTAGTTCATTCTTATTGCTATAAATCACTGCATTTACAAAAATCTATCCACTCTGAGAAAAAGGAACCCTTTTACACTGTTGGTGGGAGTACAAGCTGGTACACCCACTCTGGAAAATAGTGTGGAGGTTTCTCAAAACGTTCAAAATAGAGCCACCCGGGGCACCTGGGTGGCTCAGTGGGTTAAAGCCTCTCTGCCTTTGGCTCAGTTCATGATCCCAGGGTTCTGGGATCCAGCCCCGCATTGGGCTCTCTGCTCAGCAGGGAGCCTGCTTCCCTTCCTCTCCTTTTGCCTGTCTCTCTGCCTATTTGTCATCTCTGTCTTTCAAATAAATAAATAAAATCTTTAAAAAAAAATAGAGCTACCCTATGACCCACCTATTGCACTACTAGGTATTTACCCCCAAAATACAAATGCAGTGATCGGAAGGGGCATGTGCATCCCAATGTTTACAGCAGCAATGTCCATAATAGCCAAACTATGGAAAGAACCAGACGTCCCTTGACGGATGAATGGATAAAGAAGATATGGGGGGTGTATGTGCATGTACATGTATATCTACATACACACACACATATAACAATATTACTCAGCCATCAAAAAAAAAAAAGAAATGTTGCCATTCACAATGACATGGATGGAAATAGTAATTAGGCTAAGTGAAATAATTCAGTCAGAGAAAGAAAATTATCGTATGATTTCACTCTTATGTGGAATTTAAGAAACAAAACAGGAGTATAGGGGAAGGGAGGGAAAAATAAAACAAGATGAAATCAGAGAGTGGGACAAACCATAAGGGACTCTTAATCATAGGAAACAAACCAAAGGTTGCTGGAGAGGAGGGAGTAGGGGAATGGGGGAAACTGAGTGATGGACATTAAGGAGGGCATGTGATGTAATGAGCACTGGGTGTTATATAAGACTGGTGAATCACTGACTTCCACCTGTGAAACTAATAATACACTATATGTTAACAAATTGATTTTAAATGAAAAAAATTTCTTCATTTACTTAAAAAGAAATCTGTCCATTCTTTCATTGATAACTGGCTATTTCCTATTTGGCAGGTACAAATAATGCTGCTGAAAACATTCTCGTTTGTTTAGGTACACATAAACAGGCAATCTCCTGAGTGTATCCGTAGGAGTAGAATACATAAGGATTGTAGGCTGGTCATATATTCAACTTCACCGTTATTGAGTCCGTTTTCCAAAGCTGTGCCAAGTTGCACTCCCAACTAGTAACATACTCGTTCGGATGCTCCGTGTTGTTACCGACTCTTGATATTGTCAGTCTTTTTTAATATCTAGTATTTTATTGTGGTTTTAACTCTCATTTCCCTGATGACCAGTGGAATTAAGTATCTTTTCATGTTTTTTAGATATGATAATAGTCATTTAGATATAGGTTAGAAAAATATTTGTTTCTGGTTCACTTACAGTGTTGGTGGCTGTTGTGAAGCTATATGTGTTTTTATTCTGGAAATTAGGCTGAAAGAGCAGCCCCTCTTGGAATATGCTCCTATTTCAGAGGGAAAGAGGGAAAAAATGAGCAGAAACTGCTAAAATCTTTTGATGCTTCTGCTTGGATTTATTGAAGATCATGTCTATTCATATTCCATAGGCCAAAAAAGCCTATCACAAAACCGTGCTCAGTGTCGGAAGTTCTCTCTCACAGGAGGCATTGCAAGTCACATCATCATGGATGGGGGTGAAAAATCCTTTCACAGGAGGAGAAATCACAAATACTCTGAAACAAAAAGTCTGCCACTTTGTTAGGTACCTGTTGAACTATTGTGGTTTTCTTTTACCTTGACTTTTTCTTAGTGATGCTGATGAGGTTTTTTTTTTCCCCCCTCTGGTTATAAAACCTGGTGGCTCAGTCAGTTAAGCATCTGACTCTGGGTTTCCGTTCAGGTTATGACCTCAGGGTCCTGAGATCGATCCCTGCTCACGGAGGGGTGTGTGTGTGTGTGTGTGTGTGTGTGTGTGATCTACTTGAGAGTCATTCTCCTCCCTCTCCCTCCCCCTTTGCTCTTTCTCTGCTCTTGCTTGCACTCTCTCAAATAAATCTTAAAAAAAAAAAATCAGTAAAACTTGTTGGGGTTATATGTAATTGCAGATATTTTCTTCCTCTCTGTAACTTGCCTTTTAGATTCCTCATGTCTTTTCCTAAATAAAATTCTTTAAAAAAAAAATTGACATGTAGTGTTAGTTTCAGGTGTGCAACATTAAGATTTGATATTATATATATTGTAAATAAAATTATTAATTTCAATGTCTCATTTGTATTTTTCCTTCATAATTGTACTTTTGTGTCTTATTTAAGAAAATTTTCCTTACTCCAAAATTATGAAGATACTCTTCTGTTACCTTCTAGAGTCTTTATTATTATACCTTTTACATTTCAGTGTGCAGTCCTCCTAGAATTAGTGCTTAGTTGACATTTTAACATACTTCTGTAAGTCTAGGAAAAATGGTTTTAGTAGTTTCAAATAAACTCAGTTTACGTATAGAAACATATTAATACTAAACTCATGTATATGTAGAAAATATATCTGTTAGTAACACCTCTTTTACCACATTCTCAGAGATATACTGGGCATGTTTAAATTTTTACTGCTTTTAAACCTGCAGAAATTCATCTTTCTCCATAGCTGCAAGTAGCCAGTGAACCACAAAGTCTTTCCTAGTTAAGGTATTATCAGGAAGATAACAGATGTTCTTTAAATGAGGCCTTAGTCTTGGTCCTTCCAGAAGTTGAGATTTTCATTTTAATTTCATCTTGTGTGCTTACTTAATTTCTTCCTCTTGTCCCACCTTGTCTGTATAAATTTCTAGTGAAGAACCAAAGGGAATAATATCTGAATGTTTAATACAGGAATTGTTTAAATAATTGTATTTCTATTATGCAAACACATTGGTGGTTTGCCTTTCTTTAGCAAAGGCTTAAGTTTTTCCTGTAGTGATACTTAACACCTAAACTTTAAACATCTTTTGGAGAATTATAACTATTCTAATATTTGTGGAATAATTTGGGAATTAAGTTTTATCATCCTGTAGACCAAAATATTTGATCTTAAGAATTGACCAAGTAAGGGAACCTGGGTGGCTCAGTTGGTTGAATGACTGCCTTCCGCTCAGGTCATGATCCTGGAGTCCCAGAATCGAGTCCCGCATCAGGCTCCCTGCTCAGCAGGGAGTCCGCTTCTCCCTCTGACCCTCTCCCCTCTCATGCTCTCTCTCTCTCACTCTCTCAAGTAAATAAATAAAATCTTTCAAGTAAATAAATAAAATCTTCAAAAAAAGAATTGACCAAGTTAAACAGTGACATTTGGAAATTGTTTGGTTTTAACTCTTTTTTTTTTTTTTTTAAAGATTTTATTTATTTATTTGACAGAGAGAGACAACGAGAGAGGGAACACAAGCAGGGGGAGTGTGAGAGGGAGAAGCAGGCTTCCAACTGAGCAGGGAGCCCGATATGGGGCTCCATCCCAGGAACCTGGGATGATGACCTAAGCCACCCAGTCTCCCACAATCGGTCAAAACTCTTATATGTAGGAAAGAGGAAATTATTTAAACACAAGTTGTTTAAAAAAATCATACACATTAAAGATCATTGTGAACATTAATGAATAAAAAATCCCTGATTATAAAGGATTTGGTCAATATAGAAATAAGTTGTGTCTTTGTGTTCAACTTTAAAAAATATATAGGTATGAAGAAGTTGGGATTCTTAGTGGGTACTACACAAGTGATTTCCATGTGAGTACTTAGAAATAAATATGCTGGGGGCACGTGTGTGGCTCAGTTGGTTAAGTGCCTGCCTTTGGCTCGGTTCATAATCCCAGGGTCCTGGGATTGGGTCCCACATCGGGGTCCCTGCTCAGTGGGGAGCCTGCTTCTCTTTCTCCTTGGCCCCCACTCGTGCTCTCTCTTTCTGACAAATAAATAAAATCTTAAAAAAAAACAAAGGTTTCAGGGTGCAACCCCTAAATGTGGTTTCTGGTACTTCAGATGTAACATCTGTTCATAACAGGGTTGCAGGATTATGTCCCCCATTATGTGATAGCAGTTTTTCTTTCTTTCTTTCTTTCTTTTTTTTTTAATAACAACCATGTGACTATGCAGTAATTTTTCTTCTGTAAAATTTACTTCCAACCTTTATTTAGATTTTGTGATTCTTGAGGACTTCCCCTTAAATGCCTTGACCGTCATACAAAGTAATATTATTAACTTTTGATAGTTTTAGTAGTAAACATGGACCATTATCCAGGGCTCATTTTATTAACATAGTATTTATTGGTCTTGCTTTTCAGCGGGGATCTGATGAGCTTCTTTCTTCTGGTGTCATTAACGGACCTTTTACCATGAACAATTCTACTCCTACAGGTGTGTATGGTGAGTTTTCACTTTTTCAAAATCTAAAATGTTTTCTTTCTGTGAGTTTCAAAAAAAATTTTTTTTACAGTGTTCTTTGCTCATCTTACAAACATTTCTTGAAGTCCATTATTTATAACAAAACTAAAATTTACTGCAGTCAGGCTCACATAAGTGAAATTACCAATTGTAGATCTTAAGTTTTAAGAATTTGGATCTAATTTGATAATTACTTTTTTGATTGATGTTCTTTGTGTTTTATAGTTGTGATAAAACTGTCAATCAGTTGGTGACCCAGAACAATTGAGTAAAAGCTGGATTTAAAAGCGTGTGTTGAATGATGGTTTAGCATATTAGAAGTATTAAAACTATAAGATCACATTATTTTTTAAAAATTGGAACATAATTTACATTCTGTAGGTTACCATCTGGTTTAAAAATAAATAAATGTTCTTGAAATTTGGGGACTGTAAAATGAACTGGTGGAGTATAGTTAAGAGGCTCTTACTGTATAGAATATCCCAGTTACGGATGGTAATTTGTACTGTACCACTAGCAGTTGTGATAGAGAGAATGAAAGCATTCACAGAAGGTGAAATAGATAGTAGCTGCTGACTAATTGAATGTTTGAATAAGGGATTCCATCAATGATTTATTTCCAGGTTTTGGACTTGGATAATTAGGTAGGTGAATGGTGGTGCCATTTACGTAGAATATATAGGAAGAAGTTGGACAGCATAACAGGTTCAGATTTTTATATGTTGAATTTGAGGTTCCTTTGCGACATCCAAATGGAAGTGTTGGGTAGTCACTGGATTCTTCTGGTCTCAGTATCTGGAGAGAAATTTGGAAATTAGCATCATCCACAGTTGAAAAGGCATGAAGAGTGGAGAGTTTCAGAAAAGGCCAGATATTTATTTATTTATAAAAATTTTATTTATTTATTAGAGACATGAAGAGTGGAGAGTTTCAGAAAAGGCCAGATATTTATTTATTTATAAAAATTTTATTTATTTATTAGAGAAAGAGTGCAAAAGAGTATATAAGCAGGGGAGAAGTAGAAATAGGTTCCCCACTGAGTGGGGAGCCCAGCGCAGGGCTCAGTCCCAGGACTGTGGGATCATGACCTGAGCCGAAGGCAGATGCCCAATGAACTGAGCCACCCAGGTGCCCCTGAAGGCCAGATTTTTATCCAAATGTTTTTGGGGTTACAGGGAATAGGAAATGAATGGACCTCACTTTCCAGACCCTGAGCTATATGGTATTTAGGAGAATGAACGGCTTTTTTGTGAGGACTGTATAAGAGTAGTAGACTAGGTTCTGTTAAGGCAAAAGATGCAATGAAAATTCATGGAAGAGATAATATATGGGAATTAGTTAACCATGGTACACTGTTCTACAGTACTAAATGGAAAGGTTTTGTGGACAGGACAGCAGCAGAGGACTTGTTCTCGTAGAAGTGTGAACAGAGTAATATGAGCATGAAACTAAAGTGTTTTCTCAAACTTGAGCTGGCATCAGAATCACCTGGAGGGCCTGTTAAAGCATAGCTGTTGAGTCCATATCCAGAATTTCTAATAAAGTAGATCTGAGGTGGGTCCTCAGAATTTGTATTTGCACAAGTTTCTGGGTAATAGTGATGTTGCCTTGAGGAACCATACTTTGAGAACTGTTGTATGAGGAAATATTAGAATCTAAAGTTTCTAAACCTAATTATCCTCTTGGTCAGGTATGTTTGTAAAAATGCTAAAAAAAAATTGTTGTAAAAAAAAAATTGCTAGAGACTTAGGGGGCTTGGGTGGCTCAGTTGGTTAAGCCTCTGACTCCTGATCTCAGCTCACACGCTTTGATCTCAGGGTCATGTGTTCAAGTCTCATGTTGGGCTCCATACTGGGCATGGAGCCTACTTTAAAAAAAAAAAAAGTCCTTACTCCTAGAGTTACAGTAAATCTAAGGTGGGGCCGATTATATTTTTATTTTAAAAATAGGTCACTTTGGTCACGTATATGAATTACCAGGATGGATAACCAGAAAGATTTCACGTTTGTTTATTGATTACTTAGGAAAAGAAAGACATAGGAAATGGGAGTTTAGCTGGCATCAGCAGTTTGTTATGTTTTGCTTTTATGTTTTGAATGTCTTGTGTCCCATTCTGTGTTCAGTGTTTCTCTTCCTGAAGCATATCCTCTTCAGTAGCTATTTCTGCAAAGCTCTCTAAATGGTAACCTCTCAGTTTCACTAAAAATGTTTATTTCATTATCTCTATTCAATGTTAGTTAGCTATTTTGAATTTTAGGTTGCCAGTTTTTTCTCTTAACACAATGAAGGTATTGTTCTATTATTCTTTTGGTGTCTGTTGTTGAGAAGTCTGTTGTCAGTGTTGGTTATTACTTTGTAGGTAAAATTACTTCTCTACAGTAATTTTAAAACATTTTCCTCCTTATTTTTGTTCAGTGGGTTAACTAGCTATTTGTAGATAGGGATCACAGATTGGCAACCCTGGATGATCACTATAATAGCTTGGGAAGCTCTGAGGAAAATACAGATACCTTGACCACACCAATTCTAAAATCTTGGGGTAGAGGGATGAGCAGTTTTTTGTTTATTTTTAAAACTTCTTAGATGATAATCGTAAGGTTCAGCTAGTGTTGAGGACCATTGCTAGAGACTTACTTTCATTCATCTTTCTTAGGAGTGACCCAGCTCTTCCCAGAACTGCCTTCTCCTGGAACTCCAGTTAGAAATGTATAGGACCGTTTCATTCAGTCCTGTATTTGTTTTAACCTCTACATTCATTGTCATGTCTTTCCTTTAAGGTCCTGTATTTTGGATAATTTCCTTAAAATGTTTTTCTGATTCACTTATTCTGTGTTCAGCTTTGTCCGATGTGCTGTTTAGTCCTTCGGTTAAATATTTGCTTATAACCTATTATTTTTCCTTGTGTGAGTCATAATTTTTAGCTGAATTGCTTTTTCTTTTGTGAGGATCTCTAAGGTCTTTGTGTTTGCTCTGCTAAGCTTTCTAAGGTATCACCAGCCCCTAACATGGTCTAATGTGTATGTTGATTTATTGCTTTGGAGATTCTTAGACCAGAGAAGAAGAGAAAATTCAGAATCCAAACATTCACATTTCCCCATCAGAATCTGAACAGAGATGGGCTTCCTTTTTAAATACTTTCGAAATATGAGTCTGTCTTTCTTTCTTTCTTTCTTGATGGGAAGTTTCTGATTTTAGTTTGCTTTCACAGAGGGCCTTGGCTGTTGACATGACTTGGGGAAATTTCACTTTTTTTCTTTTGAGGTCATTTATACAGCAAAAATATTTTTGTGATATTTGGTCTAATATTTGCAAATTTCTAAAAGAACTAAAATTTCAAGATTTGGGTGCTCCATTCCTTGACTATAATAAAGATTCCTAGTTGATTTTGAACAAATTTGGAGAGAAAGGTTTTAGGGCTCATTTACAAATGAGTTTTTAATGCCTATGTGAGGTAGTTTTTCAAAGATACAGAAATTTAAAAATCACATTGATAATAATGGGTAGGTTAAAGAGCCTGGTGTACAATTGTGCCAAAGGAGCTTTTTGGTATTCAGTATAATCTTACCACAAAATTTTTGTGGTTCATTTAATCTAAATGTGGATTTAAAAATAATTTCTAAAATCTAATGACCGTACTATCTATTAGTAGAATATTGCTTGTTTGGTAAAGGAGTTATGTATGTACTAAACTAATTGCAAGTACACGTCTGCCCCATAGGACTGTTGCACCAAAACTTATGTTTGTATTATGTATGTATTATGTTATTACCTCAAAAAAAGTAGATCTTTATTGTAGAACTTTTTTTTTTTTTTTTTTTTTGAGAGGGAGGAAGGAGGGGCAGACGGGACGGAGAGAAAGAATCCTAAGCAGGCTCCATGTTGGACATGCAATCTCACAACACTGCAATCATGACCTGAGCTGAAATCAAGTCAGATGCTTAACAAACTGAGCCACCCAGGTGCCCTTTTAATGTAGAACTTTTAAAACTCAATTTTTGGGGCACCTGGGTGGCTCAGTGGGTTAAAGCCTCTGCCTTCCGCTCAGGTTATGATCCCAGGGTCCTGGGATCGAGCCCCACATTGGGCTCTCTGCTCAGCGGGGAGCCTGCTTCCCTTCCCCTCTCTGCCTGCCTCTCTGTCAAATAAATAAAATCTTTAAAAATAAATAAATAAATAAATAAAAACTCAATTTCCGTTAGTATTAGGTATTTCACTTTTGATAGACTGATTTCCCAAAAGCTTTATTTTGATTCCACTGAAATGATTCCACATTCAGTCATTATTGGGTAATAACTGATTTTTCATTGTTAGCAGATGATGATAAAACTGATATAATTTAGCTTTTGGCAAAGTTCTATTGATGAGGTTAACATTATTTATTTTATTTATTTATTTTTTTAAGATTGTGTTTATTTATTTGACAGAGATCACAAGCAGGCAGAACAACAGGCGGGGGGGGGGGAGCAGACTCCCCGGTGAGGAGAGAACCTAATGTGGGGCTTGATTCCAGGAAGCTGGAAGGCAGAGGTCCCCAACCCACTGGGCCACCCAGGTGGCCCTGGGGTTAACATTATTAACACCTGTTACTTTACACATGGAGAAGAAACTTCCCAAGTTAAATTAATTCAGAATTATACAATTGTGGTTTTACTGCAAGACATCAAATGGAATTGGTGATAAGCACAGTTGTGCCTTTCCTTCTGGGAACCTGACCTGTGATCTCATGTTTGTAGGTCTTATTTTATGTCCTTTGATAATTATGAAAAAGTTTTACACATTTCTTTGTGAGTTGTATACTTCTCTTTTTAAATTTAATGTTAGGAATTATGGCAGAGACTATTGTGTACCTGAATACTTTTTGGTTTTCTTTAGTGACAACGCTAATTTTTATCTGGGTGTGTTGCCTCTCAAATTAAACAGCCATGTTTCAGTCTTCCTTATAGCTAGGTGTGGTCATGTGATTAAGTCCTGGCTAATGAGATACAAGTAGAAGTTAAAAGGAGATAGATACTTCTGGAACATTTCCACATGGATACACTTTTTCCTCTTTTATCCTACCTCCTACAGGATTTTCATCTTCCATCTTACATGATGAGGATGAGAGCTGCACCCTAACAGAAAGACAAGTAGAGCCTGAGTCACTGGTAACTTTATGTCACCATTCTGGATTTGGAAATTTCTACAGTTGGACTTTTTACATGAGCAGTAATTTTTTTTTTTAAGCAGCCATTATTTGAAATATATTATTATTATATGCAGGACTATGATTTCAGATAAAAGTAAACAAATGAGGTGAACCCTGTGATCACCTTGGCATTTTTTCTGGACTCTATTTAAAGTTGGGGGGAACCCAGGCAAACATGACAGAATTGCTAAGTTGAAGAGACAGAGATCCACGCTTGGGAAGGCTGAGGCAACTGGGAGCTATGGAAGCAATGCATGGGAGAGGAGAGAGCTCCATGAGAAAAGTGCTCCAGAAGTCTCCCTTTGAATCTGTTGCCAAATAGTAAGCTACACATGCCTTACCAGTAATGTACACCAGTTCTAGCATAAAGGCTTCTCTAAACCCACTCTAACAAAGCTTCAAAACAAGCTCCAAAACAGTTGCCTGATCTGAAACTACCTTTTTTCCCAGAAAAAAACTCTGGCACATTAAAGGAATAAAACAAATTCTAGTGCTCACATTGTTGACTATTCAATCAAAAATTGCCAAACATGGAGAGAACCACAAAACTGTGACCCATAACCAGGAGGAAAATCAGTCAACAGAAGGAGAACTAGATGGGGCACCTGGGTGGCTCAGTCAGCTGCGTGTCCAGCTCTTGGTTTCGGTCCAGGTCATGGTCTTACAGAGTCGGGAGAGTGAACCTCATATTGGCCTCCACACTCAGAGTGGAGTTGTCTTGGGATTCTTTCCCTGTTCCTCTCCCTCCTCTCTGTATCTCCTTCTACTCTTGTGCATGCATGCGCGTGCTTGCACTCTCTCTCTCTTCCCCTCCCAAATAAATAAATAAAACCTTAAAAAAGAAAGAGACCTATGAAAGGACAGAGATAATGAAATTAGCAGATTTGGAGTTCAAAATGGTTATTAAAAGCATATTTAAGGATTTAAAGGAAACTGTTAGCATAATAAGGATAAAAATGGGACTTCTAAAGATAAGAATATGTCTAAAAAATACATGGCATGGCATTAATAGCACATATGTTCTGCAGAATAAGTCAACAGTCAGTTCAAAGACAGCAGTAGAAGGGTGCCTGGCTGGCTTAGGTGGTAGAGCACATAACTCTTGATCTCTTGGTTGTGAGTTGCAGCCCCACGTTGGGTGGAGAGATGACTTAAAACAACAACAAAAATACAGCAATAGAAACTAAAGCACACAGACCAAAAAAGATTGAGGAAGAAATGAACAGTCTTTAGTAAACTATAGAAAAAAATCAGGTGGTCCAAACATATGTGTAAATCAGGTCCCAGAAAGGAAGGTGGGGGCAGGGAAACAGATAAACCTGAAGAAATAGTGATTGAAAATAATTCCAAATATGGTAGAAATTATAAGGCCACATAACTAAGAAGTTCAATGAACCACAAGCCGATAAATACAGTGAAAGCCACACCAAGGCTTATCATAATAAAATTCTTGAAAACCAGGAATGCAAAACAAATCTTAAAAGTACGCAGAGGGGGAAAAGTCCCATTTTATTCTGTAGGTAAGAAGGATACAGAATTTTTTGTCTGAACTGTAAGCCAGAAGACAATGGAGTAATATCTTTAAAGTGCTGGAAATAAGTACAATCATCTATATCCATCTAAAGTTTCAAAAATGAAGTTAAAATCAAACTTTCTTTGAGGCAGACAAGAGCTGAGAGCATTTGTCAGTAACAGATGTCTGTTACATGAAATGGTAAAGGAAATTCTTCAGACTTGAAAATGATACCAGGTGGAAACTTGAGTTTGTACAAAATGGTAAATATCCACAGAGTGGATATGACTTCTCCCTCCTTTTTTTCTTTCCCCCATTTTGGTTTAATTTATTAATTTAAGATAATTGAAGGAGGATTCTGGGAATAGTGGAGTAAGAAGCACCAGGAATCTGACTCCCTGCCTAGACAACAATTGCACTAACAGACTCTTTCTGTAATTTGGAACTCTGGAGTCTATTGAAAACTTGCAAGTTGTTCCAGAGGAAGACTTGGAAGGTAAATTGTGTTTAATTTTGATCAATTTCAGGTCTTAGCACTGTAGCAGCTACCCATTGTCTGTGTTTTGTTTTTGTTTTTTTGTTTTTTTTTTTTAAGATTTTACTTATTTATTTGAGAGAGAGGTAGGAGAAAACATGAATGGGGGAGGGGGAGTGGGGTAGGGGAAAGAGGGAAAAGCAGAAGTAGGCTCCCTGCTGAGCAGGGAGCCTGATGGGGGTCGTCCTGACCTGAGCTGAAGATAGACACTTAACCTGCTGAGCCACCCAGGCACCTCCCATCCTCTGCTCTTAAATCACATGGCAGGGAGCTACCTACATGTTCCAGGAGCAGCTTACAAATAGCTTGAGGGAGCCAGCATGGGTAGAAAGGACATTGTCCTCTTAACTCTCAGGGATCTGTGTTCTGATTGTTAATTGCTTCTTCTGAGCACATAGTTGCAGACAGAGGCAGGCAGCCATTGTCTTTGCATCTCCTTCTGTTGTAGCAAACTCCCCCTTCCTCCAGTGACTTCTAGTGAATTCAGAGAACTGGCACTCTTTCCCTTTCCCTTCATATTTCCCTTTCACCCTTTTTGGGAGTGAGATATTAGAGACTAAGACATTAAAAAACAACTGCTTCTATAGGGAAAATTAGAAAGTGATAATGCATGCCAGGGAAAAAGGCTCAAAAGAAACCAGAGAAGACTTTAAATTTATATAAACCCAAGGCTGGTTCTCGGTACAGAGATAGCTTACAACAATCAAAAGAAGAAAAACCATAACAAAAACTAGAAGACCCCAAGGAAGGGGAAGAATCTGATTTCTAGAATTACCACAGTCCCCAGTTATTTTTTTATAAAGATTTTATTTTATTTTATTTTAAAGTTTGTTTTTTTTTTTTAAGATTTTTATCTATTTATTTGACAGAGAGAGACACAGCGAGAGAGGGGGCACAAGCAGCAGGAGTGGAAGAGGGAGAAGCAGACTTCCTGCTCTGCAGGAGGCCCGATGCAAGGCTCAATCCCAGGACCCTGGGATCATGACCTGAGCTGAAGGCAGACACTTAATGACTGAGCCATCCAGGCGCCCCTTAAGATTTATTTATTTTAGAGAGAGAGGGAGAGTGCATGCTCAGTGGGTGGAGGTTGGAGGGATAGAATCTTCAAGCAGACTCCCCACTGAGTGCAGAGCCTGATGCAGGGCCCAATCTCATGACTCATGCCTGAGTCAAAACGAAGAGTTGAATGCTTAACTGACTGAGCCATCCAGGCACCCCAATAAAGATTGCATTTTTAAGTAATCTCTGTACCCAACATGGGGCTTGAACTTACACCCCGGAGCTCAAGAGTTGCATGCTCCATTGACTATGCCAGACAGGTATTCTACCACACACAGCCCCAAATTTGATGAAAAGTTTGAGTATAAACATCCAAGAAGCTTAACTCCGAGTAAGATGAACTCAAGGAGACTCACATGAGACACATTATAATCAAACTTTCCAAAGATAAAGAATCTTGAAAGCCAAAAGGAAGAATCAACTTATCACATATAAGTGATCCTCAATAATGTGAGCATGTTTCTCATCAGGAACTTTGGGGATCAGAAAGCAGTGGTCCAATATATTTAAAGTGCTAAAAGAATTAAACTGTCAACTGAGAGTCCAGTATTTGGCAAAACTGTCCTTCAAAAATGTCTTTGTGTTCTAGCTTAAATAAATTAGATTTAAAAAAATCATTTGTGTGTGACGTACTTGACTCTAAAGTCCAGTCACAGATTAAAAAAAAGAAAAGAGGGATGTAAAAAAAAGAGGGATGCCTGACTATCTCGATCAGTGGAATCTGATCTTGGGGTTGTGAGCAGCTCCATGTTAGAGGTAGAGATTACTTTAAAATAAAATCCTAAGGGGCACCTGGGTGGCTTGGTTGGTGAAGCATCTGCCTTTGGCATATGGTCATAATCCCAGATTCCTGGGATTGAGCTCCATGTTGGGCTCCCCACTCAATGGAAAAATCTGCTTCTCCCTCTCCCTCTCCCTCTCCCTCTCCCCCTTCTCCCTCTGCCCCCTCTCCCTGCTCGTGCACTCTCCCTCTCCCTCTCTTAAATAAAGTCTTAAAAAAGATGTGTGTATGTATATATATACATACACACACACACACACACACACACACACACACAGAATGGAATATTCAGCCATAAACAAGAACAAAATCTTGCTATTTGCAGTGACATGGATGGAGCTAAAGAGTATTATGCTAAGGAAAATAGAGAATGACAAATACTATATGATATACCACCAACAGTGCACAAGGGTTCCTTTTTCTGCACATCCTCACCAACACCTGTTTTTTCTTGTGTTACTGATTTTAGCCATTCTGACAGGCGTAAGGTGATATCTCATTGTAGTTTTGATTTGCATTTCCCTGATGGTAAGTGATGATGAGCATCTTTTCATTTGTCTGTTGGCCATCTGCATGTCTTCCTTGGAAGAAATGCCTGTTCATGTCTTGTACTCATTTTTTAATTGCATTATTCGTTTTTTTGGGTGTCGAGTTTTATAAGTTCTTTATGTATTTTGGATACTAACCCTTTATTGGACATGTCATTTGCAGGTATCTTCTCTGTAGGTTGTCTGTTAGTTTTGTTGATTGTTTACTTCGCTGTGCAGAAGCTTGATTTTGCTGTAGTACCAATGGTTTATTTTTTCTTTCATTTTCCATGCCTTGGTAGATGTATCTAGAAAGAGGTTGCTACAGGTGATATCAAAGAAGTTACTGTCTGTGCTCTCTTTGAGGATTTTCATGGTTTCAGGCCTCACATTTAGGTCTTTAATCCACTTTGATTTTCTTTTTGGTATGGTGAAGGAAAGTGGTCCAGTTTCATTCTTTTGCATGGTACTAACCAGTTCTCCCAACACCATTTGTTAAAGAGACTGTTTTTTCCCCATTGGATATTCTTTTCTGCTTTGTCAAAGATTAATTGTCCATATGGTCGTGGGTTTATTTCTGGGTTTTCTTTTCTGTTCCATTCATTTGTGTGTTTGTTTTTGTGTCAGTACCACAGTGTTTTCATTACTACAACTTTGTAATATAACTTAAAGTCTGGAATTGTGATGTTTCCAGCTTCACATTTCTTCTTCAAGATTGCTTTGGCTGTTTGGAGTGTTTGGTGGGTCCATACCAAATTTTAGGGTTATTTTTTCTAGTTCTGTGACAACTGCTGTTGGTGTTGGTGTTTGGTGTGTGTAGGTTGCTTTGGGTAGTATAGACATTTTAACAATATTTGTTCTTCCAGTCTGTGAGCATGGAGTGTCTTTCCATATCTTTATGTTCCCTTCATTTCTTGCATCAGCATTTTATAGTTTTCAGAGTACAGGCCTTTCACAAGAGAATGGCATTTTTAAAAGTTATTAGTCTAAAAGCTAGCATGTGACTTGTTTGTAGCACTACATTTTTTCCCATGTATTTTGGGAGACTAATGCATTTAAAAGAATTTTTAGTTCGTGTTTTGGGGCACATGTATATAAAGTTATAATACTGTGACATCAGCAACAGGAAAGGGTGGGGATAGAGGTGTAAAGGAATAGAGTTTTTGCATATTACTGAAGATACGCTGGCATAAATTCAGATTAGATTGTTATAACTTAAGGATGTTAAGTATAGTCCCCATGGTAACTACAAAGGAAATAGCTGTAGAATATGCACAAGAGGAAGTGAGAGTACTCGAAGTCATAGAGATGGGGAGTAAAATAGTGATTGCCAGGGACTGGAAGAAGAGGGAAATAGGGAGTTACTGTTTAATGAGTATAGAATTTCAGTTTTACGTGATGAAAAGAGTTACTGAAATGGAGAGTGATGATAGTTGCATATTATGAATGTGCTTAATACCACTGAATTCTACATTTAGAATAGTGAGTTTTGCTATATGATGTTACTGCAGTAAAAAAGAAAGAAAGAAAGAAAGAAAGAAAGAAAGAAAGAAAGAAAGAAAGAAAGAAAGAAAGAAAGAAAAGAAAAGAAAAGAAAAGAAAGAAAAGTATAGAGTACTCTCTATGGAAAGGACTACAGGTTACATTAAGTGTTGGGGCACCTGAGTGGCTCAGTTGGTTAGGTGTCTGCCTTCGGCTCCGCTCATGACCCCCAGGGCCCAGCATCCGGCTCTCTGCTCAGTGGGGAGTCTGCTACTCCCTCTCCTCCAGTTTGCTCTCTCTCCTTTTCTCTCCTCACCAGCAAATGAATAGGTAAAATCTTAAAAAAAAAAAAAAAAAAGATACATTAAGTGTATAAAACATGATGTAAAAAGAAAAAAATTGACTAAAGCAAGATAATAGTAATATATTTGGGGAGCTATGGCATATGTGAAAAGTAAAATATATGACAGTAACAGAAAGGTTTTGATGAGGGAAATAAACATATACTTTGAAAAGTTCTTACATTGTACCTAAGTGTTATCATTTGAAGGTAGACTGTGCAAGTTAAAGATACATATTGATGATTTATCCCCAGAGCAATCACTTAAACAAAAGTAAACAAAGAACGTAAAGATTCCAGTTAAAAAGCAGAGATCAATTGTGTTTTATGTTTGTATGTTTCATTTATGCATGACATATTATCTTTTCTTGATAAATTGATTCCTTTATTATGAAATGTCTTTTCATCCCTGGTAATATTCCTTTTCCTGAAGTCTGCTTTTTCGGATATTAGTATAGCCACTCAGCTTTATTATGATTACTGTCTACATATTTATCTTTTCCCATCCCTTTTATTTTGAAACTGAGATTTTATGTTTAAAATAAATTTCTTCTGGGGCACTTGGGTGGCTCAGTCAATAGAGCATGTTTGAGTCTTTGTCTTGGGGTTGTGAGTTCAAGCCCCACATTGGGAGTAAAGATTACTTAACAATAAAGTATTTTCTTATTTTTATTTTTTATTAAAAAAAAATTTTATTTATTTATTTGTTAGAGAAAGAGAGAGTACAAGTAGGAAGAGCAGCAGGCAGAGGGAGAAGCAGGCTCCCTGCTGA